ACCTGATTTATATTACATCTACACCTCTGTAAAAATGTTACTTGCATTTTTGTTCACTTATTAAACAAACTTAAGCCTTATATGTTGGAAAAAAAATAAATGTATTAGGAAGGGTGAAGGGCAGGTTATTTTGAGTAGGATAAGTGAAATAGTTACAATAAAATTTGTTCTGGGGGAAACTAATAGATATAGCATGTAATATAAAAAAGTAGTAACTTTTATCAGAATATCCAAGTAGGCTTTACCACCAAGTTAACATTTAATCAGAATCTAAAAAATATGACAAGAAATTCAACAAATAGGGGTATAACTAAGTGAGGTAAAGGCAGGTGGAGCTGACATATGTTCAAGAAATAGGTGTCTAAGGGGGAAATGCATCTAATGTGATGTGTTTACAATTGAAAAATAGCTAGGCTATTAGGTTTAAGGCATATGAAGATACTGTACAACATGTTAAAGGATTTCTTCATCTTCTATATCTAATAATATTTTTACATGGTCTGGAGGTGAAAGGAGTAGAATTTAAAGAACATGCAGAAAATAACAGCAAGGCAAGCAGACAGGAAAGGGATAAAAAAACTCAGGTAGGTGCTGAAAGTCACAGCAGAGTGATAACAGGAAGACAGAGATAGAAACAAGAGTGCTTTAACAACGAAATAAAAGAAATTAATCAACGGATATTTCTGTTAAAAAAAGAATTATAGTCAACCTTTCTGGCTTAAATAACTAATGGACAAAACAGTGGTGGTTCTGTTGGCTCTTAATTAACAAAACTAAAGAGATTTGTGAAAACTTTTGTAAAGAGAAAAGGTAAAGTACAGCACTTTATGATATGAATAATCTGGTTCTGGAAAACGAAGGTGAATTGTATAGCAGCACAAAGGTCAATACAGAAAATAATAACAAAAATATATGATAGTCACTTAAACCAGGGTTTGTGATTTCAAGTTACACTTGGGATCTTGGGAAATGTTTGTGTGCCTGATCATTTTTTAAAGAACAACAATAAAACTATGGTAAATATCTCAACTAACATAGATGAGAAGGCATTTATAGCTCCTGAAATTCTGACATTATATGAACAAAAATAATAGAAATAGAATGTTACAGTGAAACAAAAGTGTAAAAAACCAGAACAAAGAAAGCATTTTCCAACTATGAAATCAGTACTCAGTGAGTTCGACATTTACTCAACTAACTTATTTTTATCAAATCCATAAATACTTAATAACAGTGTTACAAATAAATCCCGTATCACTGAAAAATGAACCACATAAAGACACAAATTTTTTACAAAACAGAAAATACTTAAAATCATCAAATCAAATCTCCCCCTAAATTAAGTATAATCTTTTCAACTTACTTCACTTGAGATGAGTACATTCCAAAACCACTGGGATGATTTGAAACATGGCCATTCATCCTGGCTTCTGCACCTGTGTTCTGGGAAAAGGAAAACACACAGATTGAAGGCAATAAAAAGATCACTGACACCTCAGTTTCAAAATGAGTTATTCATTCAACAAATATGTGTCCTTATCAGGAATGATGGCAAGGGTTAGAAAGAGACATGTTCCCCACCCTCAAAGAGCTCAGGCTCCAAAGGTACAGATGGACATATACTAACAAACATTTAATAAGATTTTAAAATTCACATACTATAAGAATAACCATCAGATTATTTCAGAGTAAATCAGACATAATCAGAATAAAAGAAAAATCTGAATGTAGTCTTGACTTTTCTAATAGGTATTAATTCCACATTCAAAATCAGTTGTTGGCTTCAAAAATTTTTGTTTACAATTTTATTAAAAATGCAATATATAATAATTAAAGACATCAGTAATGTATAAAATTACAATAGGCAGACATATAACCAAGGGCTTCATCATCTAAAAGTAGGAGTTGTTTTTCGTAAAAGACAGAAATTTTGAAGTCATGTCTTTTCAATCTTTTTTTTATGTTGTTGTTGTTGCTACGTGCCATTGAGTTGCTTGAGACTCAAAGCAACCCTATTTACAACAGCCCTAAACTCTGCTCTGTCCTGTGCCAACTGTACTGTCTCTGACAC